GAGATGTTGGTTTCTTTAGAGAAGCGGTGCCCATTAAGATTTTGGATGGTTTCCCCTTTTAGTGAGATAAAGTTTATGTTGCTCTCAAAGTTCTCCTCCTAGACAGTTGTTTAACAGTACAATGAAGATGGTCTCCTCCTGTACAGCGGTTTAGATGTGAAATCGAGATGAGAAGTCGATGATGGTGCCGATTGGAGACTGGGTCTAAAAATGTTTACTCGACTGGATTTTGTCAAGGGTTATAGAGGTAACACTATATCCCAAAATTTGTAATGTAACTTTCATTGGCATAATGGATTTCAGTTTGCCGTGCTCGTGTTCTTGTAGCGTATGTGTTTCATGCTTATTTCTAGTATTATGGCTCGTGCTCTCTCCTATTTTGTTTCTAGCTGAATAAATACAAGATCTTGGTAAGATCTAACTTTTTGGATTCTTCTTTCCGCATCTAAGGGGGTTCTTAAATCCTAACAGGCTTTTTGTTCAAATTTAAATTTAATTATTTTGACTTAAAAGTATATTTTAGAGTTATTTTTTTTCATTTTGCCTCGATTTCTCAATTTTAATTGTTTTTTCTTGTTTGTTTTGCCATTTTCTTTCATCCCTTGTAGTTTTTTTTTTTTTTTTAAATGGTTTTTAAATTTTTTTTAAATAGTATGAATCACCCATTTGAGGTTGGCCAATCTGACTCAAAACCAGTGGCTGACTAGTTCGACCAACATGCCCCACTTTTTTTTTAGCACCGGGTAAAACCAAGTGGAGGATCCAATCAATTGTATTAGGTACTCAGCCTCACCACTTAGTACACACGCTGGAGTTCACATGAAAATACCGAAGACACATTTAGCGGGGGGATTTTATTATTTGACAAATTCCATATTTTAAGTCCTTCCAAAATTAAAGCAATAAAAAAAGTAATTGCCCCAAACCCATTCCCCCTCAAAGCAGACTTGAACTATCCATTTGAGAAAGATAGATCAAGGCTTTAATTTTTTAGGAAATTATGATAGATGAGCTATTTAATATTTTACCTAGATAGTTTGACTCAATTTCAAAATCTCCATCAAAAGATGCGTGATCATAAGTTGTAATTGTTGTGGGTAGACATGGGATTCGATGGGTTCGAGTATGGGTTCAAAATTTGGATCCGAATACTATTTGGGTTCGAATCCAATTAGATCTGACATGTTGCCACCCCTACTCAAGATGCGTGGATTTTCAATTTATTTAGGAAAATTTATCTACATATGTATAGTAGATGAACTATTTAACATTCCACCAATTTTTTATTTAAATTCAAAATGCCATGCATGATCATGAGTTGAAATAGTTACAAATAAGTAAAATATTAAATGGTTTTTCTCTTATAAGTATTTTAATAGTATTCTAAACTATTATAACCAACCAACGCTATATATTTTATCTCTGTTTTTGGTTTGAGCTCTTTTCTTATATATTATCTCTTTTCATTATCGCTATATACAAATCCAATCCCCCAGCTAGAGTATCCATGTACAATTCCCCACCCGCTCTCTCTCTAATAAATCTAATCTAGGGCCAATCCCATCCATGGCATGAACCACGGAAAGGTATTTTCTGAGTGAGAGTTTATTGTTCTCTCTATTTCTCTCACGCATAGCAGGCTATAGATTAATATCTATAAATAGGAAAAATTATAGATATCCCTAAAATAAACTTTGTAGACATCCTACCTCCAATATTTTTAATATCGCACTTTCAACTCTAACATTTTTTTTTTTTGTTTTTACGGTAATGAAGAAGTCAACAGATTGGATACTAAACTATCATTTCCTTCTCTCTCTTTATCTCTCTATCTACCGCCCTCTCATTAATGCTTCTTTGCAGCAATCCACTACCTTATCATTAAAACCCTTCTAGTAATACTAAGTGATGCCTATCCATTTTCACCAAATATGACAAAGACATGCCAATTTATTGTTGTAAAGCTTGAGAATAAGATGATCAAGCTCCCTCGGAATGACTGCAATAAGGGTACAATGCTGACAAGGGCAAACTTCAAATGAAAAATAAATTCCAGAGGAGTTTACTGCCACAACTCGATTGGATGCTGTATGGAGAATAAGGCATTTGAACACCTAAACTTTGTAAACTGTACCATCGGCCATTTTTTTGTCCCATTTTGGCCAAAAAATGTATTTTTTTGGCACTATTATATCATGGATGAGTTTTTTTTCGGCGAATTACCCAAGGTAAAACTTTTTTAGGCTCTTGGATGGCTATTATCGATGTCTAGAGCTTCCAACACCGTCCTTGAGGCTCTCGCTTCTCTATAACTCAAATGCTTGGAAAGGTGTAGGATTTTCGTTTATTCAATTCAAAATCTTATCTTTCTATTGATTGGTTCGGTTTTGGGTTGTTTTGCTTTTTTATTTTTAGGGAATAACGGGTGCTTCTGGTGCATTTGTTTTCCCTTACAATGGATGAGTGAGGGGGTAGAGAGAGAGGGCATGTAGAGAAAAAGATAGAGGGGAAGAATAGTTTAGTCCCAATATGTTGACCTTTTAATTGAGGGAGGATATAAGTAAGAAAAAAAATTTTGGGGTTGTAAGTGTGATACTGGAAGTATTGGAGGTAAGATATTTACAAAATTCACTTTGGGGGTATTTATAATTTTTTCTATTTAAATGGGTGTTTGGCAAAAGATTGTCTACTCTTACTTTTATAAAAGGGAAATTTTAAAAATGGTGCCTTTTTATTATAAAAAATAGAAATAAACATCAATTGTTTATATTTTACCTTTAACTCCTACTTTTGAGAGTGTTTGTTGCCCTTAGTTTTATTTTATTTTCTGTACATTGAATTATCCTTAAATAGGAAAAGAGCCTAGGCTTAATTGGTTAGCATCTAACGATTTGCAATGCTACGACCTAGGTTCAATTCATACCCCATTGACTCACCCAATTAAAAAAAAAAAAAAAACTTAAACATTTGAAGTTAACACTTCTCATAATCTCACATTTGTAAATAATATTTTAAATCAATAAAATAACCAAGATACCCTTAAATTTTAAAATTTATTTCAATTTTTTTTTTGCAAAGGCCATGAAAAGCATGGATGCTGAAAAATTGAGCTTAATCGGGTACAAAGAAATTGAATAAAGTTAATGTACAATATTGCAATAGAGTTTAAGCACAAAATAAAAAAATAAAAGAAAAGTGTAGCGTCAATTGGGGGACACAAGTGGATATGTGAGTCCCCCAATGCACCTAACATCCGTCTTAGAGGTGGATGTAAAAAAAGGTCCCACAATCAATGGTCCATCCAAATGAAATCCTAAAAATATTAATTTTATTTTTAATTTATTTTTTACTATTTTTATATTTACCATGATTATCAAATCCGAAATTTTTTTGGATCTAATTTCTATCTTTAAGATGGATTTTGGATGGAAGAGTCATATAAATAGATGAGTTGGCCGACTCATAAATACCTTGTCTACAAATAATAGGAAGAAGCTTATAGAAAGGCTGCAACTTCATACTATCGAAGTAAGGTGCACCTCAAAAATCGTATAGAAGATAATATTCCTTTTTTGGAGAAACTTCAAATTTATCATCTTGACCTCGAGATGCATATGAATAGAAAAATTGCAAGTCACTAAAAATAATACATCTTCGGACAAGTTATCTAAATTGTGTATTTTAAAGTATTTATAGATCAGTGCAAATTTTGAATTTTTAAATTATATAACAAGGGACAAAAATAGATTTTAAAGCTATTGTAAAGTTTATGACACCAGAACTATATCTCCAAGCAAATTTTAGATGTACTTCTTCATTACAATGAGGGCCTTGTATAAATCTCACCTAAAACAAAGGAAAAATCTACATTACAATGAGGGCTTGTACAGACCTCACCTAAAATAAAGGAAAAAAATTTAGGAAAAATTACATACATATCCGTTATATTTTGCATTATTACGGATGTATAAAATAGTTTCCGTTATTACATGTATGTTCGTTTTTTACTTTTTATAATGCAAATTTTTAAAAAAGACAACTTTACCTTTTTTCGGATGTTGAACATCCAAAAATTACATACATACCCATTTTTACATTTTCGGATGTTGAACATCCGAAAATAGGCCGAAAGTTTATATTCCTATTTTCCGGTGTTGAACATCCGAAAATATGACAATCTGAAAATGATTTCGGATGTTTAACATCCGAAAATGATTTCGGATGTTGAACATCTGAAAATGTGATCCGAAAATATTACATTTTCGGATGTTCAACAATAAAAAATACAACCTTCTAGAAGGTCTCTATAATTTCGCTGTCATTTTTAGATGTTCAACATCCGAAAATGTGACTGGGAATGTGAAAAATGGGAATGTGAACGTTTAACTTTCGGGCTATTTTCAGATGTTGAACATCCGAAAAACCCTTCAATTCGAATGTTCAACACCCGAAAATGGGAATGTGAACATTAAACTTTTGGCCTATTTTCGGATGTTCAACATCCGAAAAAGGGTAAAGTTGTCTTTTTTAATAAATTAGTTATAAATGGTAAAAAACAGACATACATGCAATAACGGAAACTATTTGGTACATCCGTAATAAAACAAAGTATGTAAGTAATTTTTCCAAAAATTTATATAAGGTTGTACACACACCTAAAAATTTGTTATATTTTTTAGGATCTGGCCAAACCTGCATATATAAAAATGCGGGCCTATTAATATATTTATTTTTGAGATGGATTTTTGTACGTAATTTTTAAGGACATGTAATCTCTAACATGGAGATCATGAATATAAAAAAATAAGTAAATTTTAAAAACTAGAAATAAAAATTATAGTAAAAAAACATTTAGACCATTAGTTTTCGTTGTTTTTAGATTGAACACTTACTTGCATCCATCTTTAAGATGGATGCTTTTCAGTTTTGGACCGCTTATGTAGTCATGCGGTCAGCCGGCACGAAACAAATTTCCTATTTTTCTTACTAGCAAAACCATCCAAAGTAATACTGTACATCGCTCGAAACGGCGCCAATCTTAAGCTCTGTAACGTGCGCTCTGCAACCTTTTGACGGGAGTCTCTTAAAAGATAAGTTCAGTATTCTTGTTTCTCCTGTGAAAAGGGCATAGAAAAATGCCTCCAAAGAAGAATAAAAAGGGTGCTCCCGCCGGAAACTCTAAATCCAGCGACCGGAAAAATGCGCCGAAAGTTCAACTCTCCGCCGAGAACGAGCGAAAGGTTCGTCAACTTCTCCTGAACTCCGGCCGAAATCCCATCTCCTCTGCAAAATCCGGCGAAAATTCCAGCCATGTCTCCATCACTCAGAGGGCCAAGAAGCTCGAAGCGGTTTATGAAAAGCTTTCATGCGAGGGCTTTAGGTCTGATCAGATTGAGCATGCTCTCTCTGCGCTTAAGGTAAGGACTTTGTTCTTCTGGTTTTGATTGTTCAGTTCATTAGTATTGTTGATGAATGAGTTTACTATGAGCTTCTGTGGATCAGGTTTGCTTGAGTATTTGATTTATGGACATCTGTGAGCTGAGCTCAGGTCGGAAGGTTTTAAGAGCTTAACAGTTTTGATGGAATTTAGGGTTTCAGTAGTCCTAGAGCTATATTGATTGGAGAAATGTATGGAATTTGTGTTTTCTTACTCTCACAAGTCTCTCTCATACTCATAATCTGAAGGCAAATTTAAATAATTTCTCATCTCTGCATCCTTTGGACCTTATATAATGAACTCTTTACCTATAATCAATCCATTGTCGTGAAACACTTTTTTCTCCAAATGTTTGCTTACAAAAGCAGATTTGTAAAGAAAACCGTTCAATTCGAATTTGAAACTCGTAAATTGGAAATGAAGTTTATGGAGCCAGGTTGGTAACAATGTGCATGTATGAGTTATGATCCTCAGTTTATCCTTTCTTGGATCACTGGTTTAAGCCGCATTCTAGTTAATTTTCTACTTCTTTATGTTTTTTAATGCTCTAGATATTGGTGATTGCATCATTTTTTGATTAAACCATGTTTATGAAAAGGATGAAGCTACTTTCGAGATGGCTCTTGATTGGCTATGCTTAAATATTCCTGGGAATGAGCTTCCTTCGAAGTTTTCTACTGGGACATCCAGGAATACTCATGAAGGTACACGTGAATCCGCCACTATAAGTTCCATTGATTTCATTTTTGAGTTTTGATTGTCTTATTCACGGGGGACTGTTATGCTGAGTCTTGCCTTTGTTTGAGTTTAATTCATCCCCAAGTTTTTGGTTAGTTTGCTCATTTTTAGAAGTTCGAAATCTAGTATTGACATTGATTATGATTGTACGAAGATAGTGGGTAACCTAATATGGTTGTCACATTTCTTAGTTTATAATCATTACTGGAATATTAACTTTCAAGAAGAATAATCATTATGAGCACAATGTAGCATGTTAGCAGTAACCTGTGGTTAAAAATCATCTGCAAAATGTGCATTTTCATTCTATCAACTAGCAAAAATAAATTCCGTGACCACCGAGTACTGATTATGAAAGTGGAGTAGGCAGTAATCTTTGATTAAGTCCCTCTCACGATGTTGATGTTCACTAAATCAATGGCAATTATTTTCTGTATAGCTACTGCTTATGCAGGAGGAATGGGCTCCGTTAATATCATATCTTCAGCACGGGAAGACTGGGTTCCTTCAAAACCTTCTCCAGTTGAAGGTGGGGGCCAAATACAAGGACTTACTGTGAGGCACAAAGGGAATCAGAGTAAAGATCATGATAATTTACTGCGCTCATCCCAAGCTGACTGGATACGCCAGTACATGGAGCAACAAGAAGAGGTAATCCACTTAATGTGCTAGTCATAGTGTGTTTGCATATTTGAAATTCCTTTTTTCTATAAGATTTTGAATTAAAATTTATCGAATGTATGATAGCTTAGAATGTCTCGGGAAGTGGGAATGATTCAACAGAGGTTTTTTCATTTGGAACTGAGTAGGGATTGCTTTGGGATGGCAACCATGAAAACACAAACATTGCTCATATGCGAGCTTCCAACAACTAGGATTCTTTGCGGATTTTAAATTAGAAAATTAGAATAGTGAAAATGTTTTCAGTTTTAAACATAGATGGAAGTCCATTAATGTGATTAAATGGGTGTAGCAAGTTACCCTTTGGAGTGCAAGGAGAGGTAAATGTTATCGTAGTGATCGTCGAGATTGCTAGCTTGAGTGGGGTTTCTATGGCGTTCTTGAGAATGTGGCTTGCACTCCCTCGTTAGCCTTTTAGTTACATTTATTACCTTTCACCTCTTTAATTCAGTAATTATAACAAAAATAAAAAAGAAGAAAGCCAAGAAATGTTAGCACATTGTTGTTAACGCTTAGTTTTAGCTGTGCAGGATGATGTTGAGACCTATGATGATGATGGGAATTGCATGGATGATGTGGAGGAGGTACCCCTGCTTTCCTTTTGGTTATTGCTTGATTGGCATCAAGGTTAATGCATCTTTATCTCTTTTGTTGATTCCCTTGGGTGTGCCTGTCTCCATGGCTTCTGAATTTGTGTTTGAAACAATGGCTTGTCTTCTGCTGTTCACTGTACAGAGATGAGGACATATGGGTCATACTTCTTTCGCGCATGGATGATCTGTGGTATGCTGACATTGTTGCATGGGTTGAGTCATAATATGGTCAAGGCATTGGGTTCTGTTTGTTTTATATAAATTTTTATTTCTTATAGAGAAATGGGTTAAGCTAGTGAAACTATGATGTCACTTGTGTATCATACTTGGGTACTACTCATTTATTATTATGAACCTGGGTGTGTTACAATCAATAGTCTTTAGAACACAGCTCAAGCAAGGTACTCAGCACTTGCCTGAGCAGAGCTACTCTGGCTAGTCAACTCAGATTTGCCCCAGCCATGCCCTATCCAAATAAAGGGCCAAAAAGCTCTATAAAATTAGGAAATTTATTTGAAAGAAATAAAAAAATTGAAAATATCTAAAAGCTAAAAAAGTAAGTAGAATAAAAAATAGATACAGTATAAGAAGTATACAAAAGGTGGAAAATGATGCAAAAGGTGCAATGCTTCACAGACACGACTCAGTCTCACAGAGAGCAGTCCAATGCAAAAACACACCACTCTACATTCTAGTACCAAAAGGAGCATTTTGGATTGGGCAGGTTTGACCGAAAATGCTATGCTTACACACGAGACTATCCCTCTTCCCGAAAGCTTCGTGGGGACTCCTTTACGTTACAACGACAGAGGACTACCCGTAGGGACTTTTCTGCACAAGGCTTCTGCAGAGGAAAAGCTTTATCCCGATGAATAGAAGATGCTCAGCTCGGCACAACATAGGGATTGGCACGCTTTTGGGAAGAACATAGAATAGTAAAGGATCCAGCATGTGGGACATGGCAATCGGGTTTCAGGAGGGGGTCACCCGCAAATGTTTGTGTGATCCTGGGAGTGTCTCTATCCCGGCTGTTCCTAACTCAAAGTTGCCATCGCTAGACCCAACGGTCCTTAACCCACAGTCGCCAAGGCTGCAGCGGTCATGCTCATTGCCACCTTGGCTAGGTTGCTCACCACTTGGGCTCTGTTTTCCACTGCACTTTGGCTTTGTCATCTAACACCTTAGCCCTCTTTTTCAGTAGAGATTCCACCATCTTGGCCCTCCTCACGTCCTTTGCTTGTGCTTCGTGTGGAGTTGTCTGATCGGATCTCTCCACTTCTATGTCATTTGACTCATCAACAACTTGTCCTTCATGGGCATTCCTATTGACTGCTGGTTTTTCTTGCTCTACCAGCCATTCCTCTACTAGATTGAATATGCAGTCAAGGTTAATAGCATTGTAGTCCTTCCTTTCTCTCCTTAGCTGCCTCTTCCTTAGGTTTATATTATAGTGCATATATACTAGCTTGTGCAGCCTCTCTGTTTTCAAAATTCAAACTTTTCCTCCTTGGAGCATGCATCCTCTGGAATGCACTCCAGTTTCTCTCACATCTTGTAGCAGAGCAAGTTTGGCTGAAGATCTTGATTGAGATGTTTTAAAGTGGTGTTGCTGCCATGTAATTCTCGCAATTTTTCTTAAAAAGACATAAGATAAATTAGTCAATAGTAGTACAACAACATATACTAGTTATATTAGGATATAATAATCACAGAAATTTGAAAGCTAACCTGTATCGAAGTGTCGATTTCTTTGAGCCTTGCGGTCCCAATATCGCCTTGAGCATCCATATAAAATGCAAGCTAAAACAACGAAGTTCAATTCTGAATCTACAAACTACGCCAAGCTAAAAGACAACATTCTTTCACATTATAAAGTTCTAAACTAAAGCTTTCCTCTTTAAAAAGCCTCAATTTGGGTGTCCTAGTCTGCCATAATATTTTGATACAGTATTTCACCCTTTCCATGATCTCATGGTGATGGCTTTGTCCTTGAAGATAGTGATAAGCAGGTTTCAAGAAATACCTTCAATACATTGATAATATCAATTTATCAACATCCAGGTCAAATAGACCAGCATAAATCACAAATTAAGATAGGAACATAAATTGGAACTTGAAATTGAAAGTTACATGCTGCATGGATGGGGCAGTGCAGTCCAGTTCTTATCAATACTATTCCACATTCTACTGTAGAATCTGCACTTGGCTTGTATGGACTGATTTTCACGGTCTAATGCTTCACATAGGAAATGCCATGGTAGGCTTAATATTTGAATCAATCATCTCAAGGCTTGTACAAGTTGGGTGGCGGCATGAATAAGCTGTTTGCAGTTATCCCAAAAGTGGTTATCAATAATTTCCTCAACGTATCTTCTGGCCTGACTCCTCGTAATTGGTGTAGTCATGTAGAATTCTACCATCTTTTTCAATTCTGATTGCTGTCCCTAGGATTGACACTAGTGTTAAGTATGCAGTGGCTAAATTAGTGACGGTAGGCCTAATGAGCTCTCTATCACATCTCACGTGTTGCCTCGTCAAGCTAATGGCGGAGTGATTGTATATGAATTTTGTATTCCCTTATCCTTGCTCAATACAGGCCTTTACCTCCCTCAACTCACTGAATGACTTCTAACGTGAAATTAATCCGGTGAGCAGCATAGGTGCGCCAAAGTCTGGAAAAAAGTCTTCCTTTCTTTTCATCAGTAACTTCCTTCCTTTCACGTAGCTTTTTGGTTTGTCAGTGATGACTTACACAACATTTTCCTCCCCAATCTCCTTTTCAAGCCGTCTAAATGAAAGCTTTCCAGTCCTTTTTTTCTTTTTGGGAGAAATCTACACTGAATTGGAAATTACACCTCTTGAGCAATAAACTAAGAAATTCATATTTCTCCTTTCCCATCCCTCCAACGATCAAACATGTTGGTAGCCCTATTAGACAACATTTGCTTGAAATTTTCGAGGAATAAGTCCACCTTGGCCGCCTAGTTATCTGAACAGGGGCTTGTAAGCTTACTTGCAGTTGGTCCCTTGAATCCTGGGTCACATGTCAGCTATAGTGGCTATCATGTTTGATAATATTCAGTATTCACTGCATTGAAATGGGTAAATCTAGGAAGTATCTTACTTATCTTATCTTTAATTTCCTTGTCCATGAGGCCTTAAGGCTCTTTTGGTTATATTCGCGCCTTAAGGGGTCAATTAGAGATGGCTCAATATGTTGGATTGCATTGGGATCTAGGTTGGGGTTGTGAGGGCTGGGAAGAAGAAGGAAAATGGTTGTTGAGATCTCCCCTCCTAGGTGTTAATCTCACTTTGAAGTTCTGGGAAAAGTATTTTTCAAGGGATTTCGATTTTTTAATTCTGGGATCTCGATCTCCATTATTCAGGATCCCCCCCTCAATGACCAAGATAACGACCAAACTAATGAGTTTATTTTTTTAATAACCATATAGCAATTCACTACTTTTAATGTAGGTACATTGCTTGCTGGCTATAGATAAAGGGATCCCTGTTTTAAAAAGTACATGTTAGTCCTAGAATATGTATATTCTTTATAGTTGGGGGCAAGATCACCAAAAGGTTGGGATTGAGATCCCAAGAGGTCAAGATCGACATTCCTATACTATGTAATACTCACAGTAATACTTGCCACCTTACCTTAGGCATGGAAGTTTTATAATTGGTGTTACATGGACACTGACACCGTGACACCATTGTTGGTGTTGATGGGTGTCTCAAGTGTCTAGTAGTTCTGTCTAAAATGCCAATACAGCTAGAAACATTCGTGCATTTTCTTTTATAAATGAAATATTGTGTGTTTTTTTTTGTTTGTATAATGTTTTCCCTTTCTTGAGCACCAATTAAAGGGGTGTACATGGTAGGTTGAACTAGACATGCTAAAACTGAGTATATGATTGAGCCCCCTATGTGCTCTAGCTTAGTTTCTTAAAACTTCAATATATATCCAGTGTCCCCACTCATCGACATGTGTCATCATGCGAAACGTGGCCAATGGCCACATGTCATGCTGACACTGCTTCTATATCTGATTCTATTGGTCTTCTGAACTTAACTAATGAGATGAACCACAGATAAAACAGTTGTAAAATATTGGGTTGGCTTTGATTGTGTGCTATGAGTTGTATGACATGATACTTTGTTATTATTGGTGTCGGTTGGAGGGTTCCTGATTGGCACAAAAGGGAAGTTTTCATATTTTCTTGTGCATGAAATAAGGGTTTCTCTGCCTGAACTAGGTGGTGAAGAGCTTTGGATTAGCTTAGTAAGCAATGGGAGGTCTTTGAGGGCATCCTGCATTGAGTGCTATCTAGTACATTGTAGTGGACTGGAAAGATAAAATATTTACCAACATGTACTTTGATATGCAGTTCATATGTTTTCTGTTTCTTAGTCTAGTCATTACAGTTTTACTCTGTGTAGGTTCTGACTTTTTCATCCTATATGTAACATGTATTTTGATGTTTGTCTTAGCACATCCTTTTTTAGGTCACCGATCCAAGGTTACGTGCTGTTTCAATTGCCAAAGAGTTTCATGCGGCAAGGTTAGCAGCAGCTGAGGCCAAGGAGAAAAGGGACAAGAAAGGTCAGGAACTGGCAGGCCAGGCAATTCGCAAGCTCAAACAAGAGATGTCTTCTCTAGGTTGATGTGACACTTTAATCTCGCTATTTCCTTTAAGCCTAGTGCAACTGTTTTCTAATCTTCCATTTCTCCTCTTAACTTGTTTGAGCAGGATTATCCGAAGATATCTTAGCAGCAGCCTCCAAACCTGATTATCCTTCCCATCAAAAGTCTGAAGCCATTTGGGAAGATTCCATGATTGGCAAAGATGCTAAATCAATAGCAGTGTGTGATGGAGAAAGTGCATTGGACTTTCCTGTTGCTAAAGATAAAAGTGGAAATACTGAAGAGAGAAGCTCCAGTTTACATGTCCAGGATGTTCACAGTTCCTTGGAACTCCCTGTTCAGGAAACTGATAGTCTAGAAAAAGAGAATCTGGAGGAAGTAGAGTTAGGTGCATTATTTTCAGAGGATGTTTCCACTGCTGACCCTTTACCTCCAGAAGTTTTGAAGCTGCAAAGGAAAGAAAAGTTGGGGCTTCCTAAGACTTCAGGAAAGAAAACTGACATGCAGAGGAAGGTGTAGATATGATCAGATAATAACATATTCATGTTATGTATATGAAATCTATCTCATGCTTGTTATTTAGATACAGTTGTTTAAAATTACAATATCAAATATTTATTTTATTGCGTCTAATATAGTGTTCATGCTTTTTGCTTTCAAAAAGTTATTGATTGATCGGCTTTGCACTACTTTCATCTATTATTTAGATGTCCTCCATCTTAACTGTCTACTCCCATCTTTATTCCATGTTATTTGAAATGGCAGGGAGACTCGGGAAAGATACCCAAAGCTGTTCTTCAACAGCAGTGCCAGAAATTAGGTTGGGGTGCTCCCAAATATAATAAATTGTCTGGAAGTGAAAATGAGTTCAGATACTCTGTCAGTGTGCTGCGTACTGCTACTGGACGGGGTAAAAATCGAAAAGCTGGGGGGCTAATCACCTTTGAGTTCCCCAACCAAGATGAGGCTTTTGAATCTGCTGAGGTATATCATGTTTACCTATCATTAGTATATCACATGACATGCTACCTCAGAATTTTGATGCTGTCTCATTTTTTCTTCAGTTGATTGATTGTGATATATTCTTGATTTTTGTGTTGATAATGCATTTAGCTGTGACGCTTAGTAGGCGATGCAATAAGTATAAGGGTAAACATAATTCATAATCACTGTGCTACTTCCTTATTTACATGCAATTAGCAATAATCCTTTTTTTAACTTTTTCTTGGAAGGACTGGGGTATTTATGAAAAGTTGGACAAAACCGTGATGAACAGTCACTTTTGATTTGATGTAATGTTTCTCTTTCTTATTTTTGTCCTTGTTTCCTTGCAGGATGCACAGAATGGAGTTGCAACATTTGCTCTTTATCGTCTATTTGCTGATCTTCCACTCTATCAGCTCATCTCAGAACCGTATTCTTCATTTGTTATGAAGTGGCATGAAGGTGGATCCTCTTTCTTATTTTTCTCTTCCCATCATGCATTCTTGGAATAAAAATTACAATGGCTAGCTCTAAGAAGTCTTTGTTTATTTCTTCTGCTTTGTATCAGTATCGTGAAGGTTTGTTGAATTTGTGCCTATATAGGTGAAGGTTTTATTGAATTTGATGAGAGTGAGGATCTTAGAAGAGCGAGTTTTGTGAAATCTTTGTTAGTTAATGAAGGTTCATCCTCAAATATTTCTGGAGATGTACCAGACATTTCTCTTCTGGAGATGCACTTGCCAAAGTTGGAGCAAAAAACAGACGATAATGTATTCATCACTGCAAGAACTGGGAGTATGTTTCTTGGCTGCATATGTTAAGACCATTTTTCTGATCAATAATTCTACCGAAATTTTGTTCATTGTGGTTTTCTGCTTCCTGATATGGTTTTGCATAAACAGCTAATCCTGTATGGTGAACGTGATTGTTAGTCTACGGTGCTGAGAGATTTTTATTCCTCTCTGATTGTTGGACTGATGATGAACAATGGGGCATCAAAGTCAAGTGAGCTATTATTTAGCAGCACGTATACAAAGAAAGTTGTCAGACCTGAGTGTATAGAAAGTGAAACACAAGCTTTCAGTGAAGACTTTATTCTTCTTTTGCTTTGAAAATTAGCTTAGTTTCTGAAACGTCATAGTCGTAAAAGGAATATTGATATAACAGTGGGAGAAAGCTCCATGTGCTTTCATGCGTTTTGTTTTCTCATGTATATTCTGCTAACATGTATAACTTAGTCCTGCCAAAATGTGTTACATTGTCACTTGTCACTTCTTTCACGGTAGGAATGCTACTCTCATTTTATTATTAGGTTCTGGCATTTCAATTTATTCTTTATTTATTTGTAAAATATATAAAATAGTTTCTTTGCTTAATCGTATTTGTTAGACAGTACATAGTTATTGGTTTGGTTTAATATTGGTTAATATTTTTATTCCAAGGCACTATTGATTGCTGGGTATGGCCATTTCTGACAACGTCTACCGCATGTTTTTAATGTTGAGAGTAAATAACATTCACACCCTTACACTCCATTTTTATTTCTATGTTTTTCTTGTCGATTTTATACAGGGATGGATTCCTCTAAAGAAGCGGAGAGCAAGTTGTTGAAGCAAGAACTAGAGAATAAACTCCAGCAGAAGAAATACTTGGTATTTACTGATCTCCGGCTGTCATCCTGGTTCCATTATGTGACTCCTCTTTGTTTATTTTTATTTGTTTAATGATTGTTAGGAAGTTTCAGTCATCAACAGTAACCTCTTTTCTTAGATTGATCAAAGAAATCTTCTAGTTGTTGTTTTCCTTTTCCTTTTTTCCTTCCTTTAAAAGAAACGAGAAGTATGACCACTTTTCTGGATTGAGAAATTAATTACAGTGATGTACTGAGCTAAAGAAACAATGATCAGTGATAATGACCGCCAACAGTGATGTTGTTGTGTTGTCTAAGAACTACAATTTATCTGGCTACTCGAACCAATCATGGCCCTGTCTTTAGAACTTAAAATACAAAATGAGAAAGGGTGGATTTTAGGGTACAACTAGAAGATTTTACTAGCCAGATCATGAAAACCAGATTTTCATCATGATTAGGATTAATAACATCAAGAAATTTGGATGTTTTGGCAATGTTTGGGCCATCTGCATGGGCATCGTGGCTGTCAACTATTGATATGCTGTATTTATCAGTAGTTGTATTTGCCAAAATTAGCCTCTGAAACTGGAAGGTTTGTTAGGATATTAGCCATATCCTTGTTAGCATTGGTATCGTTAAACAATGGCTATCACTAGGACTTTACTTTGTTTGATGGGGTGACATCTGTGTTGTCCAAGTTTGTCCGTGAGATAAGTTTGTGGTTTCATTGCTGGTATTGTTGCTGATAAGAGTCATTGCATAATATTTCTTAGAGGGCAATTGACCCCATGTCTTACTTCCCAGGAGCTTTCCCAATGTGCTCCATGCCCATTTCGCAATTTGTTTGCCCATCTCCCTTCCCATTTGTTTCCTAAATGTTACTGTTCTCCTGTCTTATCTGCTTTTATACATTTTGAAATGCTTCCCAGTTGCTTAACTTTTTCCCAGGTGTTTCTTTCCACTTCCCATTGATTTCCATGCACTTTTGAAGACATTTAAAATGTTATGTATGTCTTATTTAATTTAGGCATGACATGCTCATAAACATTTTTGTCATTTCCCATGTGTCATGAATTTTTTATTTTTCTCGCTTCCTTTCTGGAACTTGTTTTCTGCTATGGTAACTATGGTTCAAGTTGTTTGCAATGTGTGCAGGTATTGGTGATTTGTTTTGTTACCTGGATTTTAGTCTTTTCTGTTATGTGTATTTACTTTTTTTTCGTTATTGAATGACTGTTATGTGTATTCAATTGAGATGTTACATTGTAATTCGTTCTTTTATTGTATCAATGCTGGATCAAGTCAAGGCTATCTTATCTTGTATTCAATTGAGATGTTACATTGTAATTCATTCTTACATTTTATCAATGCTGGATCAAGTCAAGGCTATCTTATCTTGAACCTGTTGTCTTTTCTACTGTTAATCATGACCATCCATCATATTTCCATACCTGATAAGCTAATAACTTCTTCATCAGCATTTATACATTTTTGTGCTCTTCCCCCCCTCACCCCACACACACACACACACACACACACACACACACACACACACACACACACACACACACACACACACACACACACTGTACGTGTAGTGGTAGGGTGGTTGTCGTACGTACGCAACGACACTACCTACTTACTTACTTCGTTACCTTTACGTTTACGTTTAAGTTAAA